TTAAAAATGTGACTGGTAAGATTTTGTTAGTCAAATCTCAGGTAAAATTTAATTGGGATAAATGTGCATAATGGTTCTGTTCTTGGGGCCACAAACTAAATGCATAGATACAGGATGATGTGACTTAGAGTAAATGTGAAAAAGACTTCAAGGTTTTAGACTATAATTTAGTGATAGGAAAGCAAATGCAATTGCAGTTTGCATTGATTGATAAATACCATAAAAGAGGATAGTAATCTTTTTTTTGTTGTTGATCTGATCATATCGCACCTTAAATACTGTGTTCAGACATCGGTATTCAATCCCAGGGGAAATACTGACAAATTGGAGACTGGAAGAAAACATTCAAGGTGTTAAAGCACAGTACTTCAAAACCATGTCATGTAAGGTAGAGCTGAAGGGCCCTGGGGTGTTTACTGGGGGTGGATGGGAGGGGAGGTGCAGGTCTAGGGTAATCAACTGTATTCAAATATTTGACTGTCAAATGGAAGAAAGCTAGATTGGGAGGTTTGAATTGAGACTAGTTAGGGTCTGTGATAAATAAACATAAATTCTAACAGAAGAGTTTCAAAGACTTCCAAATCCTCTGCTCCTGATCACGCTCAAGCCAGAATGAATAACCATTTGGTGGAGAAACTAGAGGAAACTTAAACATTAACTGGGTGGCGAGATGGAATGATCTGTACTCTGAGCTTTCCTTATTTGTCATCACTTTCTTACTCAAGAAATGGCAATAGCTCTCTCCTTACTGCCGCACTGAACCCAAACCAGCTACCTAATTTATAACCCCTCTTTTCTGGCCTCCTTCTACCTATTCAGTCATATTCCTGCTTTCTCCAAGGAAAGCCAGCCTGCTTTCTTTCTCAAATCTAGTCGCAAAAAAAGAGTAACCATGGAGAAAATGTTTTTAGATCAACTATTATGAATTCTGCAAGTTTTCTAGAAAATCTAGGAAAACAGTACTCCCAATACCTATTATGATTAAAAGGCAATTATTTAAGAGATAGATGTGCATTTGAATTTTCCCAAGCAGTAGACGAGAGTACAACTGCATGGAAGTAAAAGCTAATAAACACCGCTTAAAATAGGCATAAGAAAGCATTAAAGTTCATGTTGGCATGTACTTGCAACCACCAGTCATGCCAAACTTTAAGAGGCTAAAGGTAAGAAAAAAAAGGGAAAGAGACTAAGGGTAAGTCCCATTAAAAATAGCAATCAAGAAGAGTAGCTCTGTGGAGGGAAAAATCTTGTATTTCTTCTTTACTAGTTTTAAGGCAAAAAATATTATAAATAAATATGGTACTGGTATTTTTATTGCTGGGAGGTTATGTATGTAAAATTTTAGGAAGAGGTTTAGAGGAATATATAAACTCATCTTTAGAATTTATATATTTTAAATAAAATATACATACAAATTAGGAGTTTAAATATGAGATTGACCATTAAATAGGAGAGAAAAAAAAATCTAATTTCATATGACAACTTTTCTTAACAGCACACTTTTATATTTTTCAAAGGTGAAATCATCAGATTTATTGCAAATCAGAGGAAAAGAAGTTAAACTAACTAAAATTCAACCAGAATTTCTACGACAAAGGAAGTGTGGAAAATCCAAGCAGGATCAAAAACTATTTAAAGCAAAGTAACTTCAGTTTATAAATTTTACTTTCTGAAGAGAGTTATTTAGTAGCATTGAGACCTGAAAATAGATTTTTAAAGGAAATTGAATGCTTTAGAAGTTTATATATGAGATTTAAGTTAAACCTTCCTACAGGTTAGGACGTGTATGCTGTTCACGCTTCTCTTTCCATTTTTGATCAAGGACTTGGTTTAATGACAAACAATGCTAGAATAAAAACAGCTCTTTGTGAGACTAAAGAAAATTAAATGTTTACATGTTAGATTTTATTTCTTTCAATCACTGTAATGTCTAATTTAGATTATTTGCTTATTATGTTGGTTAATTTTATTTTTATGAAATAAATGACAACCTAACTCTAAGTTACCATTGGCCAATAGAACTGGTTATTTAGATGACTTTTTTTTTTTTAATTCACTTCCCACCCCATCCCCCCTGCCACCACTACATTTTAAATGGAACTTCTTTTTATACCAGAATGTAGCTACAGTTTTGAATAATAGTGTGCAACTTAGATTTATGGTTTTATCTTTTGCCATTCACCTTGTTGAAAAGATTTTCTCGTTATTTCACCACTGGATTTTTATGGGTTGGTTTATTCTAGACTCTTCTTCATTTAACTGTTTATGGGGCTTAAAGAAGCTTTAATTATTAGCTTTTGTTGTTGCTTAGGGCACTGAAAGGTGTGCTGGGCATGGAAGACAACTGTTTTATGGCCAGCCTAGACTCTGTAAATGGATATTACTCACTATTTAGTATCTGGAAATGGACTCATGGGAAAAGAATTCCAAAGTTTCTGAAAGAGTCAAATTGGCATTTAAGTGACCCTGTACATGCCATTGCTTATCTGCATTGCTTTAAGCTCATTTAGTTAGCAAGATTATGTATTAAAACAAATAGTGACAGAGGACAACAGGTATTTTACCTTCAATAAATAGTTACTGTCAGATTATCAATGAAGCAGAAACTTCTTGATTCCCCCCCTAAAAATCCTTGCATTTAGTGCATTAGGCAAAGTAGCATGGCCACACACAGAGTCAGAGCTTTTTCTTTTTTTATGTCTTAGTGTTTCAAAGAATGACAAATCGTCCTGTTTAAGGAGAGTATGCTATAAAAACACACAGTCTTTCTTGAGCATGCCAAAAATATTTGTAGATCTTTTTGATATGTATAGTGCTGAGTTAATTCATTACAATGAAAATTAGAAATCTCCATTAGAAAAATAAGAATGAAATACAGAGGAATAAAAATTTGATATTAAAAGTTATATAATAAAAGAATTTTGGAAAATATATTTCTGAAAATCTTTTATTCCTTGCTTCTATTTTCTTAAACATTTTTTTTTTACCTGACTCACTTGTGAGTAGATCCCAAGTTAAATTATCTTCTTGGGAATTGAGCTCCCTTTTGAAAATATAGTATTATTTAGTTCGATAACCAAGGGATATTCACTTATAGACCTATGTAATGAGAGTATGATGGGAACATAGGAATTCAGATAAGTTGTGTTGCTTTTTTAAGAAAAGAAAAAAAAAAAGGTAATGTAATCTCCAGTACATTCCACTTGCTGGGACCTGTCCCAGACAGAATGATAATGTAGATGAGCTTGACATCAGAGCTCACCTTTTTGTCCCTTTTTATTTATTTATTTTTTCAGTTCTTTCTTAGGATCCCTACTTCCTGGACACCCATTTTCACTCTTCCAGTTAGATCTCTATCTGAGGCATTTTCAAATATTTTAGATCTGCCTCTTTTTATCCTCCTCCACTCGAACATGTACACATTTCATATTCTGTGCTTTTTAGTGCTTGTGCTGTCTTAGAAGTGACACAAACCATTCTTTATTAGTAATTCAGTAATGGCTAGCAATGGGTTAGGTGCTGTGCAGTAAAGTAACTATAGCCATACAAATAAAATAAGCACTGTCATCAATTGTTACAGAGGCAAAAGTTTTGAAGGGAAAGGAGAGAGAGAAATAGAAACATCAATAATGAGAGAGAATCATTGATTGGCTGCCTCCTGCACTCACTGGGGATTGAGCCCGTAACCCATGAATGTGCCCTTTTAGTCCTCAGGCCGATGCTGTATCCACTGAGCCAAACCAGTTAGGGTAAAACGGATTTTTATTTTCATTTTGCAAGATATTTAGAAAGGTCAATGATACAGCTTGCAAATGTTCAGCTGAGATTCTGATGCAGGCCTGCCATTTCCAAACACTATGTTTTTTATATTACGGTATGCTACTATCCAGGCATGTGAAGCAATTGGTGGGCAGACCTGCATTAACTTATTAGATAAATGGTCAGAATGGGTGGCAAGAGAACAGGACAGTGAATGAAAAGAGATATTTGTGAAAAAGGAAAACAAAATTTGCAGAAAAGTTTGTCTTGGAGGTATTGTTTGATGGCTGTTTAGATGTGGACAAAAGGACAGGCAGCTTTCTATTCATAACTGAAGGAACTGACAGGTCTTGCTGGTCCTGTGAATTGTCCTGGAAGCTAATAGTAATAGCAAATATCTGCCATGTGAGAGACACTGTTTTAAATTCCTTCCTTCCTTTCTTTCTTAAAGTAATTTATGCAGGATGTGCTAATGTTGTTACTCCCAATTTATTGATATAAAAAGAAATGAATTGACTTGCTTATGACCATGTGATAATTTAAAACATACTTTGAACTTTTAGTCACAAGTAGGGCCAGATTCTAGGAGCCTTGAAACTCAGAGAAAGGAAGTTAGGTGAATGCAGCAGGTAAAGGAGTGCTCGGGAAAGGAGTATTTAAAGATCAATGTGGTAGGATTTTGCAGGCGATATTGGAGAGGAGAAAAGACAGAGGATGTAGGGATCCACCTGACTGGCATTAGCCTGTTGCTAACGCAGATTGAGGTGATGAGGCCCTTGACTGTGTTGGAAGTGAGGAGGGGAAAGTAGCACAGCAGAGCCACCCTGTGCAGGGGAAAGCTCAGCTTTTCATTGGCTAGGCAGGCGAAGGAGAGGCAATGTTTTGTATATTGAAGGTGAGGAATCTGAGTGAGATAGTGATACTGGATATGAGATTTGGGAGCTCTTAGTACAGAGGAACAAGCTGTAGCTGATTTCTGTTTTTTCAACGTAGAAAGGAAAATTCAACCTTGGAAGCCATACCCAGTTTAGAAGATGGAGAAAGAAAAGCCAGTGACTAAGTCAAATTGTGGTAATCTGAGAGGCAGACATAGAGCTGAGACAGAACAGGCTTTAACAAGGCTTTCATGGAGGAAGAGCAATTGCAAGAAAGGTCATCAGTGTATCAGCTGTAGCTTCATAGAGAACACGATCTAAATATCTAAAGTTTATTTGATTTGATGATCAGGTTGCCACTTGGTTAATGTAAGAGTATGACTTCAGTGAGGAGGTGGGGATGGAGAAGCACTGGAAAAGGCCACTTCCACCTCAGGGGTCATGAAGAGGCAGCAGCAGGAAAATATGGCTTTTCGTCAGCAGCATTATGTTTAGATCCTAGTAGCCACTCACTGATTTTGTGATTTATCCAAAATAAGCCTGCTGCAATGTAAGGATAACAATACCACCCATACAGGCTCATTGTTGAGAGAATGTAAATCACTTAGCATGTAGTCTGGCACATGGTAGGTACTCAGAAAGCATTTGTCCATTGAATGGCAAGTGACAGTGGGGATTAAGAAAGCATTCTTCATGCCCTCTTCCCTATTTTGGAAAGGCAGGAAAGGCAAGTTTTAGCATAGCGGGAAGAGAGGTATCACATTAACTTAGATCAGGGGTTTCACTGATGCTAGTTAATGGGTAATGTTCTATATTTTCTACCTCTTTAGGGTCATTAGCATTTGAGTCGAGTTGCAAAGGGGTAATGCATGATGGCTGGATATGGTGTCACAAGCTGAGTTAAAGAATTCAAGAGAGAAGAGGGTTGGGATGGGATGAAAATAAGTTTGCTTTTAAATCTCTTGATTCTATGGTAACTGTAAGACAGTTAGCAGGCAGTCGGATATATGACTTTGAAGATCTGGCCTGAGATTGTAACATTAAATTTGTTATAAACCACTGTTATCATTTTAAAATCTCATCTCCTACATTTAGGCATCCTTTTCAGATGCTGCACTGATCTGTCAATGTAAATGTATTTTATACCAAAAGACCACACAGTGAAAAAGGAAGCCCACTTTCTTTTCTTTGTTGCAGAATTCCACACGATCACGCCATTCCTACCCTTCATGATCTGTGCACCACTGTCCCCGACCGGGTGCTGCCTGTTGACTTGCATCTGGCTTCTCGAGTGTATCATACAGCCAGCAAGAGAGGCCATGATACTATACTTGAAGTATTTGGAAATTCCTTCTTCGATGATCACTTTACAGCTAAAGAGCAAAACTATCGGTAAGAGTTCTACTGGTGATTTTGTTTTAAACGGTTCAAATTGGCACAGAAATTCTGCCTTTTGAGGTTTAGATTTGAAGACTTGCTTTTGTTCTTGGACTCTAGAGAGGAACAGTTTTTGTTCCTTCCCTTCCCCTTCTATTGAGTTTATCGCAATGACACTGGTTAACGGTTATACAGCTTTCAGGTGCACAATTCCACAACACATCATCTGTATGCTGTAATGTGTGTTCACCTCCTCAAGTTAAGACTCCTTGTATCACCATTTATCCCCCTATACTCTCCTCTTCCTTTCCCCCCACAACCACTGTTGTCCCTATCCATGAATTCTTTTTCTTTTTTTCTCAATTTCTCCACCCGACCCTCCCAGCAACTGCCTCTGACACCTGTCAGCCTGCCCTCTGTCTATGAGTCTGCCTCTAGTTTGCTCAGTAGTTCATTTTGTTCATTAGATTCCACCTGAGGGTAAAATCATATGACGCTTGTCTTTCTCTGCCTGGCTTATTTAACTTGGCATAATGCTCCTCAGGTCCCTCCATGCTGTCTCAAAGGGTAAGAGCTCCTCCTTTTTCATGGCTGAGTAGTATTTCATTGTATAAATGAATCACAGCTTTTTACCCACTCATCTTCTCATGGACACTTGGGCTGATACCAAATCTTGGCAACTGTAAATAACGCTGTAATAAAATAGGGGTGCATACATTCTTTCAAACGAGGGTTTCAGATTTCTTTGGATAAATTTCCTGAAGTGGAATCGCTGGGTCATAAGACAGTTCTATTTTTAATTTTTTTGAAGAAACTCCACACTCTTTTCCACAGTGGCTGCCTCTCTGCATTCCCAACAGTACACAAGGGTTGCCTTTTTTTCTACATCCTGGCCAGCACTTAATTGTTTATTGATTAATGAAGAGAGCCATTCTGACAGATGTGAAGTGATATCTGATTGTGGTTTTAATTTGCATCACTCTGATGGTTAATGACATTGAGCATCTTTTCATATGTCTCTTGGCCATATGTATGTCCTCTTTGAAGAAGTGTCTATTCTTCCTGTGCCCATTTTAAAATTAGACTGTTTTCTTGGGTGTTGAGTTTTATAAGTTCTTTATAAATCTTGGATATTAACCCCTTACCAGATGCAATATTGGCAAATATGGTCTCTCATTCAGTGAATTGTCTTTTCATTTTATTGATGGTTTCCTTTGCTGTGCAAAAGCTTTATAATTTGATGTAATCCTATTGTTTCCCTTGCCTGAGGAGATATATCAGAAAAAATATTGCTATGAGAAATGTCCAAGATTTACTACCTGTGTTTTCTTCTAGGAATTTTGTGATTTAAGCCTAGCATTTAAGTCTTTAATCCATTTGAGTTTATTCTTGAGTTCAGTGTAAGAAGGTAGTCTAATGCCATTTTTTTTGCACATATCTGTATAATTGACCCAATGCCATTTATTGAGTAAACTAGTGGTTGGCAAACTGCGGCTCAAGAGCCACATGAGACTCTTTGGCCCCTTGAGTGTGGCTCTTCCACAAAATACCATGGCCTGGGCAAGTCTGTTTTGAAGAACTGGCGTTAGAAGAAATTTGTTTAAAAAATTTGGCTCTCAAAAGAAATTTCAATCATTGTACTGTACTGTTGATATTTGGCTCTGTTGATGAGTTTGCCGACCACTGGAGTAGATTATCTTTATCCCATTGTATGTTTTTGCTTGCTTCATCAAATATTAACTGTAAAGGCCTGGGTTTATTTCTGGACTCTCTAGTCTGCTCTATTGATGTATATGTCTGTTTTTATGCCAGGACTATGCTGTTTTGATTTCTACTACCTTGTCGTATAGTTTGATATCAGGCATGATTCTTTTAACTTCATTCTTCTTAAGATTGCTGTTGCTACTCAGGGTCCATATAAAATTTTGGAATATTTGTTCTAGTTCTCTCTTTTTCCATATTTTTTCCTATACCCACACAAACTAGGTATCTTCATTTCCTGCCACTAGCATGAACTGTGCCTTATCATAAGGTAACGAGTGGTTTATGGTTCCCAAAGAATGTCATATACATTTTTTCATTTATTCTTCATAACAACTTCGGGGTGAAGATGTTAAAATTGAGGCTCATAAAAAATCAAGTAACTTTGCCAGGCTTATACGACTAAGAAAATCACAGATATGGGGACCTGGTCTTAGATTTCACTGGCATCGGGCATACTTGGGTTCAGGGATCATGTACAAAAGCCATTGCCTCTGGAGTTTCTTCCATTTCTCCTTGTGTCATATTTTCTCTTGATTCTGAGTATTCTTTTGTGAAGAGTACAAAAGAGAGGAGGAAAGAGAAGCAGCCAACATTTACTTAGCAGTAATTCTACTTTTACTGCTGTGCTTTGTATTTTACATCTCTCCTATTTAAATCCATTACCCCTTAAGGAGCCTTTCTAGATGTTCTTTCCCCTAATTGGCCTATTAAATGTTAATACCCCAAATATACTGTCCATTTGTGTATGGGCCTATGTAGCTGTGTTCTATACATAAAAAGAGTAAGCTTATATCAGCCCCCTCACAAGACACCAACTTTTGCCCCTTAGGAGCAATATCACCTGCCCATTGAGAGTGCATGCTCTGAAGTCTCTTGCCTTTCCAAAGATATGCTAGGGATCCTAAAAAACAATTCACCTACACGTTTTCAGAATATTAAATAAATATTAACAAGTTTAAATAGAAATGTTTTTAGTATTATATTTTAGCTATTTTAGATCTAGAGAATAATATTTTAAAAGAAAAATTTTGATTACAAACTGGCATACCTCGATGTGGGATTGGGGGGATAAGAAGAGATAAACCAAAGAATTTATATAAGTTCACAAACCATAAACTTATATGTATAGTCCATGGACACAGGCAATAGGGTAGTGAAGACCTGGGGGCAGAGGTAGGGGCTAGGAGAAAGGGTGAATGAGGGTGGAGGGGAATTGGGAGATAGTTGTAATACTATCAACTGACAATATATTATCTATACTAAGAATAGCCTAGGTGGTGTCATGCCCTCACATCATAACACCACAAGATGGCCATCACAAGATAACTGCGGGACCAAGAGGGTCCTGCAGCTCCACGCGCTTGATGGGGAGCGGGTCCTGGTGGGAGAGGTGGGTTGTGGCAGTTGGAGGCAATCAGGCCAGCAGGGGAGGACAGTTGGGGGCTATCAGGCCAGCAGGGGAGGGCAGTTGGGGGCTATCATGCCAGCAGGGGAGGGCAGTTGGGGGCTATCAGGCCAGTAGGGGTCAGTTAGGAGGCGACCAGGCTAGCAGGCAGAAGTGGTTAGGGGCAATCAGATAGGCAGGCAGGTGAGCAGTTAGGAGCCAGTGGTCCAAGATTGTGAGAAGGATATTCGACTGCCTGTTTAGGCCTGATCCCCTATGTCCTCCTTAGGGCCACCTAGCAAGTGCTACAGAGTGATCTACAGATGGCTGCTACTTGTGTTGGGCTAATAGGTGCCCAGAAAAGGCCAAGCTGTGAATCTTGACTAGCTGCTGCTAGTGCTGGGCTTCGGACCACTTGTTGAGAGGTAGTATACATCCTGACTCCAGTTGCTGCATTTTTGAGAGATTTCAGAAAAGTCTGAAGCCTGAGTCAAAATAGGCTATTTACCGGGTCTAGTAATAATTAATGTCGTTTTAAAACATTCGTTTAAAATCTTGCTTGGCGTTGACTTGTATTGACATAACCTTCAAACACGTGGTATCTACAGAACGTGTGAAGTGCAATTAACAAGTTTTGCTTGAAAAAGTTTGTGTTTGGTTTGGTTTTTGTTGCAAAACTAGGGCTAAGAAGATGGCGGATGAAGAGCATATTCGGCACTGCATGCTTTACGAGTTCCAATTAGGAAGAAAAGCAAGTGAGGCTGCAAAAAACATCTGTAGTGCTCTTGGTCAAGATGCAGTTAGCGCCAGAAAATGCCAGCGTTGGTTTGAGAAATTTCGCGAGGGAAATTTTTCGTTAGATGACAAGAGTGGTCGAGGCCGTGTGTCCAATTTTGATCAAGAAGCTCTTCAAGCTCTTTTGGTGCAAAATCCTCAAATTACCCAACAAGAGCTTGCGACAACTTTAAATTGTTGACAAAAAACAATTTCCAATCAATTGCGTGCACTCGGCAAAGTCCAAAAGTTTGGAAAATGGGTTCCTCATGAGTTGACCGACAACAACCGTAATCAAAGAGTCACAATTTGCAGTTTGCTCCTCTCTCGTCAAAACCGTTTTTAGAGCAAATTGTTACCGGAGATGAAAAATGGGTGCTGTATGTTAATTTGAAAAGGCGGCCTCAATGGTTGGACAAAAATGAGGCTCCGCAGCCCACGCCAAAACCTGACTTGCATGCGAAAAAAGTGATGTTGTGTGTTTGGTGGAATTTTAAAGGAATTCTTCATTAGGAACTTTTACCATCTAACCAAACCATTACAAGTGCAGTGGATAGTGCCCAATTGGAAAGGTTAGCCCAAGCTTGAAGAGAAAAAGAACCCGCGCTGATTAATCGGAAGGGCGTAATTCTTCACCACGATAACGCACGACCGCATACTGCAAGAATCACTGCTGAAAAACTGCGCCAGTTGGAATGGGAAGTTCTCCCTCAACCTGCATATTCTTCTGATATTGCTCCTTCCGATTACCATTTGTTTCGTTCTTTGCAAAACTTTCTTCTTGGAAAAAAATTTAATAATGAAGAATGCCTCAAAAATGCATTGACCGAATTTTTTTGCATCAAAATCACAAGAATTTTACAACAGAGGGATTAAAATGCTTCCTGAGCGTTGGGCACAAGTAGTAGAAAACAACGGCAACTATATTGTTGATTAAATTTTGTTGTATTGTTTAAATAAATTCGATTTAAAAAAGTATTAGAAAACAACATTAATTATTACTAGACCTAATATATGGAAACAACATTGCAAACAGTTTGGAAAGGGTTGCAAATTTGGTGGGGCAGGATCTCAGGGAATCACCAGTGCATGG